GTGACTTGAGTTCAGCGCCGCTTTGAACAGTAATTCAGTTAAAGCACGAAGCAGTTTGGGGAAATCCCAAAATGACAACGGTAGATGCTTACCATTTTTGTGAAACCCACGATCCCGAGTATGGAATGACAAACCAAGTATAATAATCAATAGTAGTAGAAGTCTTTATTCAACTGTATTGTAGGCCATAGGCCCATGATACAAACGGTAAGTGTACAGTGGATCGGAAGTTCGAGGATCACATTTATGTATTTAGAAATGATTGTCTAAGATACATGGCTTTAACAATAAACAAAGAAAGACTTTGTACAGTTGCTCGATGGAAAGATGACATAAGGATGTTGAACTTTTGCCTTGTTGGGAATTCATAATATTTTCTTGGTATAAATTCTGCCCTCAGAATCTGGTAACATTTACATATTAGAATAAAATGGTACTCATCTTCAACATAATTGTATTTACATGCTTTGCAAACTCGTTCCACGCTAGGTTCCATTTTGTGTCTACCAGATTCGATCCGAAGATGATGGGAACTACACCGTAATCTAGCCAGAGCATGTCGAAATTTCTCTTTTGGTATCATAGTAATATATATTTCCAGGCAAAACGTTTGCTTATACAACGAATAGTTATATGATTTAGAGCTTCCTGGAAGAGTTGCATGCCAGTCTTGTTCATATGAAGATTTTAATCTACATAGAAATTCATTTATAAACATGAGGATTCGTAATACATTTGTGCTACCACACAAGGCCAAAACCTGTCACCTGAATAATACTTCTAATTTTTGAAGCCAAATTATTTTTACAATTTTGGAGCGCCTGAAGTTGCATGTTATAACATTTTTTGGTATATCGTGAGTCTGACATTTTCAAAATATTACACCAGTATTTAAGAGCTTTTTTAAACGCATAAATAAACAGCGGATAACGTCCACATTCACCTCGCACAACATGGTTTGAGGTTGAGTTTCGAAATCATATTTCGTTACAAATGTCAGGACTCAAGCCCCATATTTTAATAAAAAATATGGGGCTATAATCAGTACGAATCTAGTATTCAAACCACCACCATAGTATCCTGGCACGGCTACGAGATGCAACCCCTTGGCCAAGGTGCTCGCCTAACACATTAGATGTCCACAGTATGTGCTCTATAGTTGTTTCATGTGTTTGTCAGAATCCACTGTAAACTCTCAGAAAAAGAAAGTTTACATTTTTAAAATTGGATTTGCCCAAAACATTACAAATGTTATCAAACTGTAATTAGGCAGAAAACAGACGGGGAAACACTGCATACTTAAAGGTCTAAAACACAACTATGATACCCGTATCACATTCATCATGTACTTGTTAAACCTGAGGGGCGGTCGGGTAGCCTAGTGGTTTAAGCGTTCGCTCGTCACGCCGAAGACCCGGGTTCGATTCCCGACATGGGCACAATGTGTGAATCCCATTTCTGGTGTCCCCCGCCGTGATATTGCTGGAATATTGCTAAAAGCGGCGTAAAACCATACTCACTCACTCACTGTTAAACCTGAACTGAGCTATGAGCCATATGACTTAACTTTCTGAATAAACTGTCTGTCTGTCAAATTACCGAATAACCATTTCTTGTTTGTTTCATTCAGCCATCAAGTGTATGCTTTCTTTTACATGGGGCTAAGTCTGGGCCGTAGGGTGGGTGATTTAACTGTACAGCCCAGACTTAGCGCCCAGTAACTATTTCCTGTTCCGGCAAATGAAACCTGCCCTACGTGGAAGACGCTTCCAGGATGACGAGGACATAAAGGCTGCCACAGAGGCGTGGTTAGAGGGCCAATCTGCGGATTTCTAAAAAAAGCGGTATTAAAAGCTTGAAGGGCAAATGGAATAAGTGCATTGAGGTGAATGGATATTATATTGAAAAATAAAAGTGCAAAATATATTCTGAGACTTGGTGTTATATTGAAGTTGCAAAACTTATTGAACGCCCCTCGTAAGTACGTGATATGAGACAGAATGGTCACCATGGTCCAAATACGTATCATTTGATACCTCTGAAATCAACATTTGAAACCTCGTATCATCTCTTTTCAAATAAAAAATATCCGAAATAGCATCATGTAATACAATAGTGTTTAAAATAAAAAGACACAATAATTGTCTTGAAATTACTTGGCACCAATTTAATGACTGCAGCAGAGTTATAGTATGTAGAGATATTTTTTCAGCTATCGCAGAACAATTCCTGTTCAGTTACGTTCGTGCTTTATCTTTCCATCTGCTTTATCTTTGTTGACTAACAACACATCTAAATCATATCGCCAACTTATCATATCTTCCCTATGAAAACACCTTCTAATATCTGCAGCCAACTTCCTCTAAGCAGGGACACAGGCCATACATCACCCCGCTAATCAAGATTAACGACAAAGGTGTAGCAACATCCAATTTACATTGTATACCGTGCGTGATTTTCTGCTCAAATGTTTAAGGGTCTGCAATAAACAATACATTATCTTGTCAAAGGAGCCCATTTATCTTCAGCCTTCTGCCCGGAGCAATGGCAGCAACGTCCAAACTTGTACCACCGCCAGAAGGTCAGAGGTGGAATAAAAAGTCAATGGGCAGTTTGTCCCCATACACACACACACGCCATACTGCGTTATTGCGTTCTTTCCCATTAGGGTTCGCCGTGCCTAGATTCCTGCGTGGTCCAAAAACAGTTGGACTCAGAGGTCATGCGCCATCTGGCGGTGATTACCTCCCTTGTTTTGGGCTTCCGCAAACAGAGCTTGAACATGTGTTCGCATTCGCTTAGCACGATTCGGCTTAGCGTTACACACGAAACACATGATGTGCATTCCGCTTACACGTTTTGTACTTGATAACGCATAGATATCATCTCTACAAGTCCGTATTGTGTCTTTTGAATTTTTATGCTTGAAGAACGAGGAGGTGCACGTGGTTGATATTAGCTCATGATTGGGGAACATTATACAATCCTAGCAATATGATGCAAACTCATTTTGACACATCTGTGTCCTGTTTTTCGCGAAGTAACCTTTTCCTGTGGTAATGTGATTGTCGATAATTTGTAATGTAACCTGACGCATTTTTTCGTCGTATTCTTTTTTCTTTGTATAATTGTATTTTGAGGCGGTGTTAAATGTTTAAAGCGCTGTGTACACTAAGTTAAACAGTTTAATTGAACTGGGCTCATTTTTAAAATCTCAACTTGAAAGTCTTTACATAATATTATAGCCATTTTGCTATTTTGTTATTTCGTCGCTATGGTTACTTATCCCTAGCATCACATAATCAATTCGATCCACTCGCTCCGGTCTTTTGTACATCATTCGTCTTATTTACTGTGACATTATGTATAGAAATGAAAATAGAAATCAATCATGACGATTTCTTTAAAATCGATTGTTGAAGAAAATCAAAACGTGGATGATTATTTTTCACATGAAGTCGAATGTTCTGTATTGTCGAAGTGGGACACGATGACAAGTGACACATGGTGAACATAGGGAGGGCTATATTCGAGATACGCATAATAATGTCGGTTTAAATTATATCTTTCTGCGTCCGCTAGTTGTAAAAAAATATTGGAATGGTAGAATCAGGATGGATGCTCCCTTTCCACACTTGAGAGTATCGGGAACATGGATGTGAGTCACGGAGCAACGAAGTGGACATTAAGAGACAAGGTAAATGTTGGCCAACACTCGCACATCTCTTGTGACTAATGCAAATGAAAATAGCGCGGGCTGGAGAGTCTCTCTGAGTCCATCCTTGCTCCGCTGGGCCGGGTTTGAGTAGACAGGGGCGATGCTCTGAACGTCATCTTGGTCAAATACTAGACAGCAATTGAGGGATTTATTGAAAAAAGCGAGCCTTGATGTAAAATGGTCTTATAGTAGTGTTGCTGTAGCTGCAGTAGTAGTTGTGTTGGTGAAGTTTGATGTAGCAGACGCGGTGTGATGTTGGTAATGGTTGTTGTTGTAGTAGTAGTAGTGGTGGTGGTGGTGGTGGTGGTAGTAGTGGTAGTTGTAGTTGTAGTTGTAGTTGTAGTTGTAGTAGAAGTAGTAGTAGTCACAGTGTAATGTTGGTGATGGTTGTTGTTGTAGTAGTAGTAGTAGTAGTAGTAGTAGTGGTGGTGGTGGTGGTGGTGGTAGTAGTTGCAGTTGTAGTTGTAGTAGTAGTAGTAGTAGTAGAAGTAGTAGTAGTAGTAGTAGTCACAGTGTAGTGTTGGTGATGGTTGTTGTTGTAGTTAGCAGTGGTAGTAGTAGAAGTGGTGGTGGTTGTGGTAGTAGTAAAAGGGGTAGTTGTAGTAGTAGTAGTCGTCACAGTGTAGTGTTGGTGATGGTTGTTGTTGTAGTTAGTAGTAGTAGTAGTAGTGGTAGTAACAGTGTAGTGTTGGTGATGGTTGTTGTTGTAGTAGTAGTGGTAGTAGTAGTAGTAGTAGTAGTAGTAGTAGTAGTAGTAGTAGTGGTAGTAACAGTGTAGTGTTGGTGATGGTTGTTGTTGTAGGAGTTCTAGTGGTAGTAGTAGTAGTAGTAGTAGTAGTAGTAGTAGTAGTAACAGTGTAGTGTTGGTGATGGTTGTTGTTGTAGTAGTAGTGGTAGTAGTAGTAGTCACAGAGTAGTGTTGGTGATGGTTGTTGTTGTAGTAGTAGTGGTAGTAGTAGTAGTCACAGAGTAGTGTTGGTGATGGTTGTTGTTATAGTGGTAGTAGCAGTAGTAGTAGTAGTAGTCGCAGTGTAGTGTTGGTGATGGTTGTTGTTGTAGTAGTAGTAGTGGTAGTAGTAGTAGTAGTAGTAGTAGTAGTAGTAGAGTAGTAGTCACAGTGTAGTGTTGGTGATGGTTGTTGTTGTAGGAGTTCTAGTGGTAGTAGTAGTAGTAGTAGTAGTAGTAGTAGTAGTAGTCACAGTGTAGTGTTGGTGATGGTTGTTGTTGTAGTAGTAGTAGTAGTGGTAGTAGTAGTAGTAGTAGTAGTAGTAGTAGTAGTAGTAGTGGTAGTAGTAGTAGTAGTAGTAGTAGTAGTAGTAGTAGTAGTCACAGTGTAATGTTGGTGATGGTTGTTGTCGTAGTAGTAGTTTTAGTAGTAGTTACAGCGTAGCGTTGGTGATGGTTGTTGTTGTAGTAGTAGTAGTAGACGCAGAGTTGTGTTAGTGATGGTTGCCGTAGCAACAACTACACCGTAGAAGTGTGTCACAAGCAAGTGTTTGCCAGCGCAGGGCGATGAACACCACTTCAGCATTAATTCAGCAATGCCACGACACCCTGTAAATCCCTAGTCTGATAGTTGACACAATGCTCAATCGAATCACAGATAATGTTCTAAAGCGCGGCTGGTTTACCAACACTTATAGATATTTGTGCGCTCCATGACAGACATGCATTAAGCACACTGAAAAAGAACGTTGAGGTTTCTTCGAACGCACACGAAAGAACCGGATGTAGTTTACGACTAACCGGAAGCAGGGGATCAGCACCACAGCAATATAGTTCTTTACTGTATTTAGAATCAACTAAAACGTTTTGGACAAAACTCGCTTTCATAACATACCTCAGGTGCAATGTGCAGCCTAACGAAGATAGATCGTCTCGTTTTCTGCCACTGCCAGTTATTTGTTTATAATATGCTTTGCTGTATTTAAGAACACCAAATTGGCCCTAGCAGGTGCACTTAATGAACAACTGTCTTCACCTAATAGGAACGCGGGATTTGTAAATAAACACGAGCATGATTGTAGTATATTATTGCACTGCAGTTATTTTCATCAAGGGACGAGCAATACATGCACAAAGATCCTTGAAGGCGGAATCAGCTCTATGGGAACTATACAAGACGTTCCTGATTAAAGGATGATGCAACTGGGTTTAGGTGGCAGACGTGATGAGTGGGTGATGGTATAATGGGTAACGTGGAACAGTGCGACCCAGATATACGAAATTAAATTTGTATTAAAGATTGACGGAAACGGATAGGATTTTGAAACTGGCATACTACCATTGCTTCTATTTTCACCACCTGTGTTCTAGTGATGTGCTTCTGCTGCTGCTGCTGCTGCTGCTGCTGCTGTTACTACGACCACGACTACTACCACTACCACCCCTCCATCCCCGACCCTGCCCCACTACTTATACTACAACAAACATTTTTATTACTACTACTACTACTACTACTACCACCACCACCACCACCACTACTACTAGTACTAACACCATCACTGCTACTAACCTCACTGCTACTATTACTACTACTGCCATCACTGCTACTACTACCACTACCACCACCACCACCACTACTACTACTACTACTACCACCACCACCACCACCACCACTACTACTAGTACTACCACAATCACTGCTACTAACCTCACTGCTACTATTACTACTACTACCATCACTGCTACTACTACCACTACTACCACCACCACCACCACAACCACTACTACTACTACTACTACTACTACTACTACTACCACCACCACCACCACCACCACTACTACTAGTACTACCACCATCACTGCTTCTAACCTCACTGCTACTACTACCACTACTACCACCACCACCACCACCACTACTACTACTACTACTACTACTACTACTACTACTACTACCACTATTACTACCACCACCACTACTACTATCACTTCCAGCACTACCAACACCACCACTGGTAATATACCCAAAGTATACTACTCTACTTTTGAAGGGGACATTTTCCATGATACACCGAACTGATTATCAAAGTATGCCAGGTGTATATTAAAATAGAACGACATGTCTAATTATCCCTATCAAAAGTTGAGTACTAGATCCTTGCAAGATACAGGTCGTGTGCTTCTACTAGTCATCTTCATATTTAAGAGTTTCAGATGTCCAAATACGTTTTCAATTGTCAATACACCCAACCGTGGTTTCTTTTAGAAAAAAATATACTTGTAAATAGCGGCAACCAAATAATTCCAGGTGGCACGTAATAAAAAAAGAAATAAAAATGTCTAAATATTCACGCTGCACGGAACTATACAGGCAAAGAGAAATTATCGCTCGTGTACTGACCTCGACACCGGTATTGTTGATACCTATAAAATGTGCCGTTGTTACAGATTATTTGATCACTCAGTGTATCAGATGCAAAAGTTCAGCCCCAGTGCTAGTAAAGTTCACCTTCTAATAAGGTCTCGTCAGGTTTTTTTCAAGAAATCCGTAGCGTCATTAAAAGAAGCCCCCATGATCCAGATACTACTACCAGAGCCTCGTTGCGAGATCTCGAGCTCTCCCGGCGGGATCTCAAGTTTTTCCAACGATTGTAATTAACTCGTAATGTTTCCATGCACAGATCGCAACCCCACAGAGTCCAAAACATGACTTGCAGCAGGTTGAATAAAGGCAATTTACGCCAGACAAACCGTAGCATGTGCTCAGACATAGAGGTCGAGCATTTCCGATGGATTTTTTTTATCAACAAGAGCAGATATAATTTTCTCCAATCTTTTTTATCCCTGGTTAGTAGAGGGATTCATAGCACATAATTAACGCTAAAGTCGCGAGTGTCTGTAAAAACGTGTAGACTTTCTAAAATGGGAAAAACGAAATGAGAATTACAGAGGGACTGCCATAGTCGACGGTTGTATTTCGAGCTCCTAGAGGTGGGAATGTTTGTACAGATTTATGTCAGCCTAGACGTCGTTGTAGACAATGATGTTACAAGTTATCGTCTCTAACATCGCTGATCAGGTGTTGTCGGGAGGAACAACGAGACGCGGTAAATTAGTTCAGTCAGGCCGGCGTTCGCATGTGTGCTCAATTTTGAAGCAACCTAGTTGGTGTTGACGGAGGCGAGCGGCACGAGCCGTGTTTATACAGCTAGGACACCCATTTTGTTGATGGATTTTGTATGATTATAAAACAGTCGGCAGGTCGGAACTGAATCCATAAAAGTACCGTTATTCCTCTTGTTCCTGATGAGTACATTGACGCTGTTGACGTAATGGTGTGAGTCGCGAGAAACCCCCAAATTTTTTTGAAATACTTGTTCATTTCAAAATGCGAAATGTGAATGGTGTACGAGAGAAATAAAAGAAAACCCCTTTAAAGGCACAAACTTTCCATAATGTTTGGTTTTGAACAATGAAAGATACCCAGGTACACTTATACCTTTTTACGCTTGAATGGCGTGAGTGGTGGTGGAGTGAGTTAACATTAAAGTCACATCGGCAGTATTTCAGCCACGGAGTGACTATAAGTATTACATAACTAATAAATAAAATCATGTTCGAATATCTAAAACCTGTTGACAAAGAACACACACACACACAAACCTCTACACACCTACACACCAAAATCCACATCCACACCACCCACACACCCTCATCCCAACACACACACCTACACAACCACATCCTCACCCACACTCCCACACCACCCCACACCCACATCCACACCACACCCATACCAATAACCACACCTACACCCACAGTTACATCCAAAGGTGAGGAGCACGCAGAATGAGGAGAAGGTACGTCCCTGGCTGAGGAGAAAGTGCGCCCCCAGATGATGATGAGGAAGTACGTCCCAAGGTGATGAGAAGGTGCGTCACTCGGTGAGGAGAAGGTACGTGAACAGGTGAGGAGATGTTACGTGGACAGGTGAGGAGATGTTACGTGGACAGGTGAGATGGTACGTGGACAGATGAGGAGATGGTACGTGGACAGGTGAGGAGATGTTACGTAGACAGGTGAGGAGATGGTACGTGGACAGGTGAGGAGATGGTACGTGGACAGGTGAGGAGATGGTACGTGGACAGATGAGGAGATGGTACGTGGACAGGTGAGGAGATGGTACGTGGACAGGTGAGGAGATGGTACGTGGACAGGTGAGGAGATGGTACGTGGACAGGTGAGGAGATGGTACGTGGACAGGTTAGGAGATGGTACGTGGACAGGTTAGGAGATGGTCTGTGGACAGGTGAGGAGATGGTACGTGGACAGGTGAGGAGATGTATGTTGACAGGTGAGGAGGTGGTATGTGGACAGGTGAGGAGAAGGTACGTGAACAGGTGAGGAGATGTATGTGGACAGGTGAGGAGATGGTACGTGAACAGGTGAGGAGATGGTTTGTTGACAGGTGAGGAGACGGTACGTGGACAGGTGAGGAGATGGTACGTGGACAGGTGAGGAGATGGTACGTGGACAGGTGAGGAGATGGTACGTGGACAGGTGAGGAGATGGTACGTTGACAGGTGAGGAGATGGTACGTGGACAGGTGAGGAGATGGTCTGTGGACAGGTGAGGAGATGGTACGTGGACAGGTGAGGAGATGGTATGTGGACAGGTTAGGAGATGGTACGTGGACAGGTTAGGAGATGGTACATGGACAGGTGAGGAGATGGTACATGGACAGGTGAGGAGATGGTATGTGGACAGGTGAGGAGATGGTACATGGACAGGTGAGGAGATGGTATGTGGACAGGTGAGGAGGTGGTTCGTCCTGAGACGTGGAGGAGGGACGTCCTCAAGTTAGGAATACTTCCATCCCTAGGTAAGGAGCTGTGAGGAGGTGGTGCGTCTTCAGGTGATGAGTGGGTGTGTCGGCGAGGAGGTATGTAGTTGATGTCCGGGATCTGAGGCCCCGCTGCGCGAGGGTAAAGAGGCTGGGGTATGGCAGACACGTGAGGGGATGCCGGACCTGATCAAACCCACATTGCCGCCCCTACAGAGGAAGCTCGGGTGAACCATGTTATCTGAAGTATAGTCCACATTCAGACAACATATTATTTTTCCGTGAGAACATCCAGCACGTCCCATGATTGATTTTTTATTTTACCCGAAGACAAAATATATATTTCCATAATTTTCGGGAGCAGATTATGTGTTAATAAAACCAGGCTGGAACAACAAGTGGTCGCCCTTTAAATATGCAAAATACGGTTTTATGTTTTTAAATCACTAACAATTATACGTGATAGAGATGTCGGATATATAATGTAACACATAGTTTTATACGTTTCATCAATATTCATTTTTTTTTCTTCTCAAAATACTAGGTTT